GCATGGGATGCTAGTCCATCAAAGGTTACTCCCAGACGTTCTGTCAGGTTCCCCCACGTTTTAAAATGACGCAAACATTACAGTGCAAAATAACAATAATATTTAAACATTTAGTAGTGTACAGCATTTTATTTTATGCAAAGTTAACACACTCCTTTGAGGTATTCAACTTGAAATATACAACGTTTCTATATTTGTCATGATTATCATAATGTTTGTAAGCTGCTGCATTTTGTAAACAAAGTGAGAAAAATTCCTTTTAGGTTAACATCTTGTCTACATTTTTTTTTGTGATTATCTCCAGTAGGTTTCTTTGGTCTCATCTTTATTCCATGGAGTAGATTGTATTATACTATAGTTTCTTGATCTTGGTACCAAGCTGATCTTGAATTGATCTGAATTTACAAGAAAAATCCCCTTCCCTTGAATTTCATCAGTCACTCTCAGTGTCTCTGTGACAAAGTCGTCATACTATGTGTCATTAATATAACCAAAGTAGACAAGAACATTGTGAATATAAGCCGGTAAATAAGCATATGTCGAGTACACAGACATCCCCAGGATTGTCACCAATGTTGCATCTGTGGCACAGATGTCAAGGAATATTTTGAAACAATCTGCTGACAATCTAAAACTAAGCAAACTTGTAACTTTAAGTCAAAACCCCAGGGTGGGGGGGGGCTCCCATATGAAAAGGTCAGGGATGCTTGTTGTCTCACTGAGGTATGTAAATCAAGGATTTTGGCTTCACTTAGGGTGTTCAGGACAAAATGCCACTATCTTTAGCTGTTAAAGTATCCTTTTGGGTGCACTCAAAGAAGTAATACAGTAGAATTCTGAAAGTGACGCTTCCCCTCCCCCCCCGCCCCCCCGAAAGTAACGTTAATTTTTTACCTTCTTATTAAATCCCGGAAAGTAATGGCACCCCCAAAAGTAGCGGCCCACCCAAAAGTAGGGGTCCTTTGAAGAAGTCACTACAAGAGAAAGTCTCTGTTTTCAAACGTGGTTCATGCAAATGGAACAGCCTGAATGCAGGACTGCACATTGACTTGGAGAGTTATCTGTGATTTTATTTCAAACTTGACTGACTTTTTCTTGAAACTATGATTCATAAGCTGTGTTTGTCTAGCAGCAGAGTCAAATGATATACTGTAGGGTAATCAGTTGTATTGTGATATAATGTGACCATTATACTTTCACCTTATAGTACCAACCAGTTTAAGCCTTTTTTTTATTTATAAAGTCTCCTTTGTTTATGAAGGTAGTTGGAAATATATATAAATGGAATGTTTAATTTCTTGTGTCATGCATACCCTACGTATGAAATGACTGTTACTGTACAAACGTTTTTTAACCATCCGAAAGTAATGGCTACTGAACTCGTAAGTAATGGCTACCCAAAAGTAGTGGCCCCTTTTGCCTGCTAAATCCGAAAGTAACGGGGGGCGTTACTTTCAAAATGTTCTCACTTCTGCTTTTAGCCTTGATTTCTGCCGCTTTCTTGAATCTAGTCTACTGGCACAGCCTCCTTTTCCAAACAGCGGCTGGTAATCAAGCCTATTTTGTTTTAAGTGGTGCCTTTAAGGGGTCAAATAAAGCCCAAGTTGTACCCAGATTGGTCTCCTATAGAGGTTTAATTCATATTTTCAGATGACCACCCCAGACCTTTTCATATGAGATTCCTCTCCTCCCCAGGGTTAAAACGTCTGTTCCTTTATATGTTTAGGTAAACATCCTTAATCGTCAATTGATTCTAATGATTTTGATTCCCACAATTGCAAAAGATCCGCCACAATTTAGATTTCATATTCAAATCAAACTTGAGCGAACGTGTGTTTGATACATGTATGCAGTCATCTTTCTCAACAGGTAGTCCACCGGGTAGTCCACTGTCAAGCGGATATCTCGTCAAGACGTATCCATATGGTATGGCTCGCCAGTCCCGGCAGAATATCAATATTTATTTGCCTTATCTCTTAAAAAAGCGCAATATAAATTAATAAATTATTATTATTATTTTTGTGTCTGCACTGATAAGTCATTATACCTTATGCTTGTGAAGTACAAGCCTGAGGCATCGCGGCAGGAATGAACGGTGAAATTGCGATAAAGCCAGCAACAAGCTTTAGATTTCGTCTGTGCATAAACTTATTTACGGCATGATGTTAAAGTTGAGCACAAATGTATATGAATATTACAGCAACCTATACCAAAAAGGATACTAAATATTGTTCTCTCCCAAGGCTCAAGCATATAGATACCTGTAGTCACTTGATATTGGTAATTTTTCAGCGAAATCCATTCTCGAATTCTTTGAAACATGGCGTCTTCTTCCAACTCTTGTTCCTTTCATGAGTGCATCCGCTGACCTTAGATGTGGTTTTATGAACACCTAACAGGCCAGCGGTTAATCGTCAAAACCAAAACTCAGCGAAAATAGCACGGAAAAGATTTTGAACAGAAGTTACAATGGCGGAATATTTGCAAGATGAAAACGAACGAAAACCCACGATTAGTTCATCACTACTGGTCTGCCCTTTATGCAGTAGCAAAAGAAAGAGTTTTACTTGTGATTGGTGTATTCAAAATGGAAACTTCGACCATTCTAGTGGAAAGTATAGCGAACGGTAATTGACGCTTCCAAATGATTTTATTTTGAAATTTTACATCTCGCATCAGCTCTCTTATTTGTTGGTATTACAAGAAAATTTCGATATTTCTACTCAACAGGTATGCCGAAAAGTTGAAGAAATTAGAGATTTTAAAGAGGTTGAAGAAAGAATATGAAAAATGGTAGGTATAAACTTAAGCGTTCAATATTGTGATTTGCTTGCTTATATTAAATTGAACTAAGGCTAAATTAAAATCCTATTAATTTTCTATTTCATTCTAATTCTTTGATTAAAATCGAATTATTTAAGCACATTTAATTCTTGTGCTGTCCTTTCAGCGCTCTAGATGCTTTAAAGAAAAGGGAAGACACAGAGAAATTGGTTTGTATATTTTGTAAGAAATATTACAGTCACGATCCCGTTACAAATGAGCGTTAATATTCACTTAAGATCGGTTCTGTAAGAAAAAACTTTACTAAATGGATTTTGAGCCTTGAGTGCATCATTTCACTGTACAGGAAATTACACTGACAATAAAAGAAAATGATTATCACAAAAAATTTTTCCATCAAGTATATGATTGAAATCCAAAAAAATTATGCTAATTCTGAAGTTTGTTACACATTAATTGAACAATCATCAAGGTCTGAATCTCTGCATGATACATGTTATTTATATATTTGATAATCAACTTTTATAATTTAGTTGGTGTGATGTCTTAATGATTTTACCAGCTTAATAAATGTAGACGTAGATATAGATGTGTTTGGGGGGGGATCACTAGTTTGCCAGTCTCCAATTTTTAAGCACTTTTCCCTATATAAAGTTGTTGTTAGTAGTATTATTGTGCACTAATTCTTGCCAATTACAGAACTGTGAAGTGATCTCCAGGAGACAGAGAGTTTTGCTTTTGAGGCTAGTTGTCGATGAAGCAGCCCAAGAACTCAAGTCAGGTAACTTTGACTTTCATCTCTCAGACAATGATATTTAGGAAGTAGGAAACAGCTTCCATGTTTCTGTCGAGTTTTAGAAAAATAATAGCCCAAAGAAAATACACACACTTATTAGTTAAAAATTGTGTTTTTATTAAACAATTAGATTATGAGCTTCAGATTTCTATTTAAACTGTGGAGTGTTTCTGTAGGGGAACTTTCGACAGATAGTTGCCCCATGGAAATCTGATGTTCTCAAAACAAATATTTGTAAAGCAAATCTTCATCTTTGCAAAGCAAAGCTTCGAGGGCAGATATGCTAGTTTTAAGAACATCAGATTTCCAGGGGGTCAACTATCAAACCGATAGTTCCAAGACATAAACACTCTATTGTCTTTACTGCTCACCAACAAATTTTCTTCCACACACCAGCTCAAAAATCATTGAATTATTTTCAACTTTTTTAGATGAAAGCCATGAAAGCCAAATGTAAAATATGGAAAGGAAAACAGACAAAAACCCAATTTATACAATTTCTATAAGCCTGCCTGTTCACCGAAAAATTTTCACGGCCAAGTCCTATCCATCTGGGTATTTTCCTCGGATGGACACTACTGACTGATAGTGTCTCTCCGGGGATGACAACTATCGCGTCACGTGATCAATTGAAACCAATAAGAATCAGACACAATTTAGTGATGAACTATAACACATGATAGTCGACTGGGGCACAGCCCGAGTCAACTATTACACATAGAAACCGAGAGAGAATAATCTAGTTGTTTAGTATAAATCTACTAGTCGTTCAAAACTCTGTCTAAATCCTCTTTGCAGACACTGAAAATGCAAAGAAACGGCCAGTTTGTTAACAAGTGCTCTCTGCTACACTACTCACTACCTACAACAGAATAGATAGAATCAGACAACGGCATAAAATTTTTTTAGATTTATACTAAAACTCGATAGAAACACGGAACATATTCTGTTTCTTAAATTGAATTAATTCTGAGTGGAAGTTTGGGAAAAGGAGAAATGCTGTGAGAACGTGAGCCACAGGCCTCCTTTACAATGAGCATTGTAATTTCTTTCTGCAGCAAAAGAGGCTGCTGGTGAACTTCAAGAGACCAATAACATGGTACATTTGAAGCAAACAGAACTCGTAGAAAAACTGAAGGTCAAGGCAAAGCAGCTGCAACAATATCAGGTGATCATTTGATGTCAAAGTTTTGTACCCCATGTTTCAGGGGCTTTGGGTTGTCCTTGTGTTTGGATTTAAAATCAATGTGTGATTTTTTTGTGACCTTCATAACAATTTTTGGACTTTCACCTCAAAACAGACTGATGTAGGGAAAAGAATTAAAGATCTTCAGAAAGTAATGGAGAAGCTCTGTGAGGCCCGCAGAACTAGGATATCCCAGATACAGAAGTACTTGTTTCCCATTCAAGTTAATCCAGTTTTCCAAGTGTTGGGTACACCGCCCTTGAAGGATGTCAACACTGATATCAGTAAAGGTGTGTGTTTACAACATTGAAAGTTTCAACCCTGCAGGGGGAGTTTCGACAAATAAAGGCAAGGTTAAGTCTGAGTCAGGCCAAGGGATCAAT